AGGGGTGCTGAGACTGGGGGTGCTGAGCGTGGGGGTCCTGAGCCTGGGGGTACTGAGATTGGGGGTGCTGAGACTGGAGGTGCTAAGCCTGGGGGTGTTGTGACTGGGGGTGCCGAGCCTGGAGGTCGTGAGCCTAGGGGTACTGCGCCTGGGGGTGCTGCGCCTGACCAAACTGCGCCTCGGGGCACTCTCTCTTCCCAGCAGCTGCGTGAGTGATACTCCTGGCACTGCCGCCGCCGACGTGGTGCTATGGGAGCTGGGGGTGCTGCTGGAGCTGGGGCTGAGGGCACTGGAGCTATTGGTGCTGGTGTTGCTGCCGACCCTAAGGTTGGCGCTGGAGGTGCTGGAGCCAGTGGTCCTGGAGGTTCTTGTACTGGCGGTACTGGAGCTGCAGGGGCTGGAGGTACAACTGGAGCTACTGTAGGTGCTGGTGCTGCTGGAGCGGGAGCTACTGGATGTGCTGCTGGTGCTGGAGCTAGAGGTGCTGCAAGGGCTGGAGCTGGAGGCGCTGGCACTCGTCCTATTGGAGGTGCTAAAGCTGCCGTTGCTGCTGGAGCTGGGGCTCCCGAAGGTGCTAGAGTTGGCGCTACTGGAGCCGCCGGTCGTGCTGGAGCTGACGGTCGGGGTGCTGGTGCTGTCTCTGCTGGTTCTGGAGGCGCTGCGCGGCCGCGGCCGTACTTCATTCGGCTCCTTGGGCAGGTTCTTGGTCTCCCGCCTTCTACTGGTCCTGCTCCTCCCTTTGAGTATCCACCGCCTGTCCCGTCACAGTCGCAGTTACAGCCCGCCTCCCCACTGCCTGCTCCCTCTCCTTATACTGGTCCGACTAGAGGTTTTGCTGAACGACGTGAGCCTGCGTCTCATCGTGCGTCGCCCGTTCTCACTGCTTGCCCTAGTCATCATGTTTCGCGTCCGCGTCCTCCTCTTGTCTCCGGCACGCACTAGATGGCACTTCGTCCTACCACTACTCCACAACGTGTCCCTCTACCGTCTCCTCCTGCGTCCTCCCTTGCTGACGGTCCGGACCCTGAGTTTGACTCTCTTCATGCTGGTAGTCCTACTGTTACGCGTCTCCTGGCCACTGCTGTCACCGACCCTTCCTTTGAGTCCACTGCTGTGTCTGCCTTAGTTGCTGAGCTTGTCGACTTTGCTGCTCACTGTCGTCTAGACTATGCCGCGAGTCTTGTTGCTGAGTCTGAGTCTGTCTCTCCTTCGTCTGTTGAGGGTGAGTGTGCTCTTGGCATGGACGTCCTTGAGGACACGCAGGAGGACTTCGTGTGCTTTGCAGCCATAGTACCTCATCTCATCTACTTGCTAATTGCACATGAGGGAGACGCGGATGCACCAGACATCCCGACCCCGCGCTCTTACGCAGAGGCGATAGAGGGTCCCTACTCCTCTCAGTGGCACTCAACCATGGACGCAGAGATGGCATCCTGGAAGTCCAAAGGCACCTACGTTGACGCGGTTCCCCCTCCTGGGGCGAACATCGTCAGTGGCATGTGGATTTTCAGGGTGAAGCGGCCGCCAGATTCTCCACCTGTCTTCAAGGCGAGTTCCGTTGCTCGAGGCTTCAATCAGCGACAGGGAGTTGACTTCTTCCAAACCTTCTCCCCGACCCTGAAGATGACCACTCTTCGTGTTCTGCTGCACGTCGCTGCTCAGCGTGACTACAAGCTTCACTCTCTTGACTTCAGCACTGATTTCCTACAAAGCAGCCTGCACGAGGAGATCCGGCTGCGCCGCCCACCTGTCGTTTCCTCCTGGTACCCAGTAGAGCCTCCGGCGGCAAGTCTAGGGTCTCCGCCAGGCACCTCGTGAGTGGCAGGACACACTGAGGACGACTCTTACGGCTCTTGGGTTTGCTCCGTCGACTGCTAACCCGTCGCTGTTTCTGCGCACCGACACGTCGCTGCCGCTGTTCTACATCCTCTTGTACGTCGACAACTTTGTCTTTGCCACTGCTGACACTACTAGACTGGCCCACGTGAAGTTGGAGCTGCAGAAGAGACACACGTGCACAGACTTGGGTGAGCTGCGCATCTATCTTGGCTTGCAGATCACCCGGGGCAGAGCACGCAGCACCATTACCTTAACTCAGTCACACATGATGAGCAGGTCCTTCAGCGCTTCGACTTCGCGTACTCCTCGCCACAGGCCACTCCTCTGCCTACCAGTCACTCGCTCTTAGCTCTGCCTTCGGATGAGTCCGTAGAGCCGAGTGGCCCGTATCCAGAGCTTGTTGGCTGCCTCATGTACCTGATGACTTGCACTCGACCTGACCTTGTTTACCCTCTTAGCATCCCGGCACGCTACGTTGCACCCGGGAGACACCGACCAAAGCACTTGAAGGCCGCTAAGAGGGTATTGCGCTACTTGTGCAGTATGTCGAGCATGGGGCTAGTCCTTGGAGGACGGGCTCGAGTTGTCCTTACTGGTCACGCAAACGCTTCTTGGGTTGACGACTTGGCTACGCAGCAGTCGTCATAGGGTTACACCTTCAGCCTTGGCTCCAGTTCTGTTTCGTGGCGTTCTACCTGCTCGTCTTCTGTTCTCAGCTCCAGCTGTAAGGCTGAGATCTACGTATGGGCCATGGCTGTACAGGAGTTACGCTGGCTCACCTACCTGCTGACCGACTTGGGAGAGGCGCCTTGTTCTCCTCCAGTTCTGTACGTCAACAACAAGGCCATGCTGGCCTTGTGTCAGGAGCATAGAATGAAGCACATTGCTCTTCGCTACTTTCTTGCTCGAGAGTTGCAGCAGCGTGGTCACCTTCGTCTTGCTTACGTGGCTTGTCGGGCCAAGACTGCTGATATCTTCACCAAGGCACTTTCGCCTTGTGATCATCTGCGCTTTTGTATTGTTCTAGGCATGTTAGAATTTTATTATCTAGCCTGTAGTGGGGTGCTCTATAGCAAGTACAACCCTGTTAGGGTTTGCTATATGTATCCCAAACTGTTGCTAGTGAAACCCCTCCTTTGTTCATTTCTCTCTTGCCTAGCTAGCTAAACCCTAGCTATGGTTCCTCACTATGCTTGCTATTCTAACATGCTAGAAGAGCAGGTCGACTCTCCTGGGTCGTTCATGTGTATGGGCCCACCACCACTGTGCTTACAATTCTAACAAGGCCTTGCCTACCTTGCCTCACTTGCTCACTTCTTGAATTTGCTTGTACTGTGATCTATATATCTATACATGCATTCTTTTACTTGCTAGGTTTTGATCACTATTGTATAACTCTACATGTGAACTGGCCTTGTGGCTATCTATTCGTGCTCAGGATGCGTGATGATTTTGTGATCCACCCTGGGCTTGCTTTGCATTTCTTGACTAATCTTGTGACCCCTTGCTCTCCCCCATTTTGCCTATGGGGGTGTGTGAAACTTATAGTCTATTTAGGCTGTAGTGGGGTAGTTCCTATAGGGTACAACAGTTTTAGGTTTTCCTACTTGTACCCACCCCTTTCCTAGTGCATCCACTCTTGTTCATTCTGACACTAGCGTCATAGACTTGACAAGTGCATTGGTCAACTGGTAATCTTACGACGAAATATCAAGTTTGTTAGGGTTTGTTTGCTCTTTCTTTCTCTTGTTTCCTCACATTAGGATAGCTGAGCCTATATCATGAAAGGCGCCCTCTACCTACGCCCCAGCTACCACTCAAAAGTTCGGAACCCTCTTGCTTTAAGCTAGGACTAAGTTAGGTGATTGTTAGTTAGACTAACCTTTTCGTAATGTCGTTTCCTACTCATTTTTTCTTGCGTTGGCCGTTTCAAAAAAGCTCAAGTTGTTTAAGCATAGGTTATAGACTTTTCGTAGAAATTTTAGCTCATTTCTTTACTTTTTTATGATTGGTTCTCCTTATATGTAGGCTCTTTGTTGTTTATTTTCTTCTCTTTTTCTTTCAAAGTTTTTTTCTCATACTTTTTTCTGGTTCTTTCTTTAATTCAGTCAGTTTTCTGTGTGGTGACATTTCTCTTGCCTTCAATCTCTTTCTCCTTGTGTATCTTTCCTTTACTGTCATTCTCTTGTTACCTTCCCATATTATTGCATCTTCACTCGGAAAACGTAGTTTACCTCTTTTATACCTCTTTCTTTGTTAGTCCCCTCTCATCTCCTTTCAGTCTCGATCCCATGTCGATTTCGACCAAGATCGCCTTATTCCGACCAAGATCGCCCAAGTTACAAGATTTCCAAGACTTGGATTTCTTATTACCTTTTGGGGTTATATCTAATTTGGGTTATTACCTGGGACATGACTATAAAGGGATCTTTGGTTGGGTGGTTAGGAAGGCAACTTTGACTTTTGGATTGGGGTGGCTAGAAGTTTCTAGCATGGGTTGCAAATGTTGCAACACCTAGGCAAAATCCAACTAGATTGGAGTTTGCATGTGACACCTCAAGGACCTCATGATGAGGGTTGCATCCTTGCTGCTAGGAAGGTTCCTACCATCCTTCCCTAGCTCTTGGAGAACCCCTTCCCTCTCATGGTTCTCTTCGAGGTTCCCAACTCCAACTTCCTATGCCCTAATGTTTGTACTTCCTCCACCACTCTAGTCATGCGGCCGCTGGACGTTTTTACTTGGTTCTCACTCTCTAGACCATCTTAACGACTGATTCAACTTGGAGATGGTAGCTAAGCGTAAGGCGCAACTTTCGACCAAACAAATTTGCGTTTAGTTGAGTAATGAGTTAGTCGTAAGCTCTCAAAGTGACGGATCCTGAACAACAAGTGGTATCAGAGCGGGTAGTCGACTTTGAGACGACGAATCGTCGTTAATTCTCAACCAATGTTGTCGAGTGAGACTAATTTCTAGTAGCACTGCTTGCGAACTTTCGATTGGTGGTCGAACCGCGTTCTAATTCAAAGTATCTAGTCCGGGACGACGATTTTTGTAGAATCGAAATTTTCTCGCAGAATTCTCTCCAAACGATTTCTCAAGTTTCCACCGTTCACAAGGCCTCAATATGGTTCGTACGAACTCCGGAGGTGCTAGTGGCGAGATGGATAGAATTAGAGAGGCTGGAGAGCAGGGGGGAGTTGCTGGTGGAGGAGTGGGGGCTCACCAACCAGCCAACCCTCCGCTACCCTCAACTTCTACACCATCTCCTACTACCATGGATCCTATGAAAGCTTTCCCTATTGAGAAATTCATGGGGGAGGACTACGAGCACTGGAGTTTCCGCATGAGGCTGATGTATACCCAATACAAGCTATTGGATTTGGTGGAGGGGAAGGATAAAATGCCGGAGGCCACGGAGCTGAAAGGAGCGTGGATGAGGCAATCGTTTGACGCGTACATGCTAGTGGTGCAAGCGGTTAGCGGGCGATTGATGAAATCGATGGGGGCAAGGTCACACACACCAGTGCATCGACCCCCTTCACTTGCCTCCTGCCCAAGCCTCCCTGGCGCCTCTTTTCCACCCCCCTCTTCTCCTCACAGGTTCCTCAATGGTACCGAGTGACGCACATACAGCAGCGCGGAGCGGACTGGCTGCTCCCTCCCCACAATGCACAAGAGGGAACCATGGAACCCCATCAATCACTCACTTTCTCCCCCCCCCCCCCCCCCCACTCCCCCCCCACCAGCCCCCCCCCCCAAACCACCCCCTTTCCCCTGGCCCATATGCGTCCCCTGCCTGCAGGGTGCGCGATAGTGGGAGGCATCGACATCTATGGCGGCACGGACCGCCTTGTGTCACGAGTGGTGCCTCGTGCAGGTGTTGCGGTCAGGTAAGTGCTCTGCTGCTTTCATGTGGGTCTTCTGTTGCTGCCAGGTGGGCCTTATGTTCCTGTCAGGTGGGTGATTGGTGCTCCCAAGTGGGAGTTCTGTTTCTGTCAGGTGGGTCTTCTGTTGCTCTCAGGTGTGTGTTCTGGTGATGTTAGGTGTTGTTGCTTTCAGGTGGCCAGTATGTTTCGGTCAGGTGGAATTGCTGCTGCTTTTAGCTGACTCCGCTGCTGCTTTCAGGCTGGTCTTCCTCTCCTCCACTTTGCTCCTTCGCTCCAGGCGAGTCGACACAATACAACCGGCTTAGAAGCAGTAAGGGCGGCAGTGCAACCCGCCACCAAGCTGGTCATCATGGAGAGCCTCGCCTCGCCAACCCCTGTCCATATCTCACTCTACTCACCATCCCTCCTCGTTCCCCTTTCTTCTCTTTTGCTCTCCCTTTCCCTCTCCGTGTTGTCTCCCACCAGGCGAGTGGACACAAGTGACCTAGAAGCAGTGAGGGCGGAAGTGGGAGAAGACACCAAGCTGGTCGTCATAGAAAGCCCCACCAACCCGCGCATGATGATCAGCAATATCAAGGTGAGTCGGAGCACCGCTTTGCATTGTACTGCACCACACTGGACTGGACTGTACTGCACTGTACTCGCTGTAGCACACTGTGCCCCTGTACCACCGACCATCTGCTGGTCGATATGGTTACCTCCACCAACCCGTGCACGATGATGAGCGATATCAAGGCAGGTCACCGCGCTACACTACACTGCACCACACGGCACTGCGCTACACTCCTTCCCCCTTCCTCTTCTCCCAATGGCTCAGACTATCTTACAACAAACAGTTGCTACTTATACCTCTCCCATTGTCATAGCTACTGCAGCCGATACCAATGCCAACCAACCCCCCCCCCCCCCTCTCTCTCCCTTCCGCCAGACCGCTAAAACCAATGCCTACCAACCCCCCGCGTAGTGGGTGCGCTGCTACTGGAGGACAACAGCATCATGCCATTCGAGCTACACAGCCCAATATCGCTTCCCTTTCTCTCCCCCCCCCCCCCCCCTGCCTCGCAGCCCATAACGGACATAGCCCTTTCAGTGAGAGCGCTGCTGCTACTCGTGCTGTCACAGCCGACAAAGCTTACAACAGGGACCCTTCCACGTCTCTATCCTTTCCCTTCCGCCAGGCCATAGCAAACATAGCCCACTTAGTGGGAGCGGTGCTGGTGGTGGACAATAGCATCATGTCGCCCGTGCTGTCACGGCCACTGCAGCTGCCGCAGCCGCGCCGTGCCGCCAACGCGGCCCCGCTTGGACGCTGACGCGGCCCCGACCTGCTGGTGGCGCGACCCCGCCCTACAGCTACCGCGGCCCTACTCTGCAGCCGCTGTTGCGGCCCCGCCGAGCGCCGGCCCTGCCAACCACTGGTGAGCACCTGCCTTGTTCGTGCGCTGCCGCCTACCTGCCTGCGTGCCTCCCTGCCCGCCTGCCTGCCTGACTGCCTGCCTACGTGCCTGCTTGCCGGCCTGCCTGCCTGCTTGCCTGCCTGCCTGCCGCGCCTGCCCTGCACGCGCTGCTGCTGCTACTACTGCCATTGCTACTGCTACTCCTACTGCTGCTACTGGCGGCAGCCAGATGCAGCTCCAGCGACGTCCGCGTGAGTCCCTCACGCCCCAGCAGCTTCGTGGGTGGTACGCTAGTTGGGGTTGTAGGGGTGGCCGCGTTACTACTGAAACTACTGTTACTGCTGCTACTGCTGGTACTGCTGTTACTGCTGCTACTGCTGCTCCTGCTACTACTGGCGGTGGCCAGATGCAGCTCCAGCGATGTCCGCGCGAGTCTCTCACGCCCCAGCAGCTTCGTGAGTGGTACGCTCAGAGTAGAGGGTCTCGAAGTACCGTTCGCTACCCGTACGTCATTTGCACTGGTGCTCGGACTGGTCAGGCTTGCGGGATGCCTAGTCACACACACTCCCGCTGCTTCGCCAGTCTGAGCGACGCCTAGCGTACCGAGTTTGGCGACGAGGCTGAGCTCTCCGACTAGGTGGAGCTGCTTGGGCAGAAGGTAGATATCTATGCTCTTGACTATGAAGCTATTCTCACTACCATGTATGCATTGCCTACTAGTGCTGACCGTGCCTGTTACCTGTGCGTACCGTCTAACCTAGGTATCGAGCATGCTGCTCTAGGTGCTAGTGAGGCTGCTGCTTTAGGGGCTAGTGTGTCTCCTGCTCTAGGTACGGGTCAGGCTGCTACTCCAGGTGCAAGTGAGTCTGCTCTCTCTGTTACTACGCCTACTGAGGCCTTGTACACCTTCACACTTGACTCTGGTGCTTCTTGCTCCTTCTTTCGTGACAGCACCACCCTCACGCTGCTCACTCGGCCGGTTCCAGTCTCCCTGGCAGACCCCTTTGGGGGTCCAGTCCGTGCGACCTCCTCCATTGTCCTCCTTTGTCTTGCTGTTCCGTCCGGCACACTGTCGGAACTTTACCTCCCCTCGTTCTCTACGAACTTGGTGGCGGGTTCTGCGCTCCAGGACGCGGGTGTTAACCAGTTCACCCGTGCCTACAAGCGTGTGACACACTGCACGTGTGCTCAGACGGGTCGTCATCTGGCTACCTTCACTCGGCAGCCGGGGTCAGGCCTGTACACACTGCCACTGAGTCCCCTCAGGTAACTGCATCTGCGTCTGCGTTAGGTCAGTTGTTGGCCCCCTACTCGTGTGGCGCCTTGTCGCACCAGACCCTCCTTTGGCACCACCGCCTTGGTCACCCCTCGGTGCAACGCCTTCGCAGCATGCACTGCCGTGTCCTTGTCTCTGGTCTTCCCAAGGTTCTCCCTCCCCTCCCACCCACGCCTGCTCCTCCTTGTCTTCCCTGTGTCGAGGGGCGGCAGCGTGCCGCTCCTCACTCCTCCTCATTCCCTCCCACAGAGGCTCCCTTGCAGACTCTCCACCTGGACATGTGGGGCCCAGCCCGCGTCCGTGGACAGGGCCACGAGCGGTACTTCCTGCTGGTCGTCGACGACTACACGCGTTACACCACGGTCTTCCCCTTGCGCACCAAGGGTGAGGTCCCTAATGTTTTGATCCCTCGGATCAGTGCTGCTCGTCTCCAGCTCCGCGAGCGGTTCGGGACGGAGTCTTCCGTCGTGCATCTGCACTCTGACAAAGGTGGGGAGTTTCCTCGGACCTCTTGGCAGCCTTCTGTGCGGAGCACGCCATCAGCCAGACGTTCACGCTTCCGGCCTCTCCGCAGCACAATGGGGTTGTTGAGCACCGCACTGGCTTAGTCATGGAGGGCGCTCGTACCTCCATGATCCATGCAGCTGCCCCCCATTTTCTGTGGCCGTTTGCGGTCCGGTACGCCATGCATTAGCTCAACCTGTGGCCCCGTGTCTCTTGTCGGAGACCTCGCCCACACTGCTTTGGACGGGGAAGGTTGGCGATGCGTCGTGTTTCCGATTCTAGGGTGCTTGTGCCTTTGTCCGCGATACCACCGCGGACAAGCTATTCCCTGTGTCTTCCTTGGCTTTGTCCCTGACGCGCCTGGTTGGCAGTTTTACCACCCCACCTCGCGCCGTGTCTTCCCCTCTCATGACGTCACGTTCGACGAGTCGGTTCCCTTTTGCCGTCTCTTCCCCTACCGCACTGCCCCTTTCCCCCCCTCGCCGCTCTTCCTTGCTCCAGGTGCTCCCAAGGTAGACCCCCTCCCCACACCTGGTCCTGCTCCTTCAGGTGTGTCTCAGGTAGACCCTCCTCCCTTGACTGCGTCGGTTGAGGTCACTGGTGACTCAGGTCCTGCTGAGGGTGGTCGTGCTCGAGGTGTTGCTTCTGGGGGTGCTGAGCCTGAGGGTGTGGAGCCTGGGGGTGTTGAGCCTGGGGGTGCAGAGCATGGGGGTACTAAGTCTTGGGGTGCTGCACCTGGGGGCGCTGAGGCGTCTGGTGAGCAGTCTCCCTGGGGCGGCCGTCTCTGTAGCCGCCCCGCTTGTACCTCGCCGCTGCACTCTCATCATCGACTCCCTCTCTCCTCACAGTAACTGCGTGTGTGGTACGTTGGCCGTCAGAGTCACGCTGCTAGAGCTAGGGGCCCTGCTGCGGGAGGCGCTGGAGCTGGTGACTATGCTACTGAAGTTGTTTCTGCTGGAGGTTCTAGAGCTGCTGAGGGTGCTGGAGCTTGAGGTCCTGGAGCTGCTGCGGGTCCTGGTGCTAGAGTTTGTGGAGCTGCTGCGGGTGTTGGCGCTGAGGGTTCTGAGTCTGCTGTTGCGCGGTCTCCTTGGAGTAGCGGCCTTTGTCCGCGTGTGCCTCTCACCTCACAGCAGTTGCACGGCTGGTACGGTCGCTGTCAGGGTCGCGCTTCTGGAACTCGGGGCTCTGCCGCTAGAGGTACTTCTGTTAACGTCACTGGAGCTGGGAGTGGTGCTGGTCCTGTAGGTGCTCCTATTGGAGGTACTGGAGCTGCTGGGGCTGGAGGTACTGAGCCTGAGGGTGCTACTACTGGAGGTTTTGGGTCTGGGGGTGCTGCTGCTGCAAACACTGAGGCTCGAGATCGTGGGACTGGAGGTGCTGGTTCTGGGGGTGCTGCTGCTGGTGGAGCTGGTCCTGTAGGAGCTGGAGCTAAGGGTTCTGGAGCTGCTGGAGGTGCTGGAGCTGTTGGTGCTGGTGGCACTACACAGCCGCGCCTGTTCTTTGCTCCACTGTCTCCGTCGTTTCAGCCACCGACTGACTCTGTGCTACGCCAAGTTCTTATACTCCCTTCGTCTACTCGTCTTCCGTTACAACCTGGCTCACCGCTGCCTGCTCCTTCTCCTTACACTGAGCAGACAAGGGTTCTTACTGAGCGTCGTGAGCCGGCGTCGCGTCCTGTCTCTCCTGTCCGTCTTGGTCATCCTGGTCGTCCTGGTCATCGTGTTCCTCATTCGCGTCAGCCGGTTATCACCGACACCCACCTTGTAGTTTGTCGTCCTTCCTCTTGTCCGCAGCGTGTTCCCCTGCCATCCCCTCCTACGTATTCTCTCCCTACCGTTCTTGAGCTTGAGTCTGATCGCACCCGTGCAGCTCACCCTACTGTCACCCATCTTCCAACCACAATTGTCACTGACCCGTCGTTTGAGTCTACTGCTGCGTCTACCTTAGTCACTGAGCTTGTTGACATTGCTGCTGCCTGTTGTTTAGACTACGCCACCAGTCTTGTTCCTGAGTGTGAGTCTATCTGTCTTCCGTCCGTCGGGGGTGAGTGTGTTCTTGGCACGGACGTCCTTGAGGACAGGCACGAGGGCCTTGAGTGTCTTGCAGCCGCTGCGCCTTATCTCGTGTCCATGCTGCTTGCCCCTGAGGGAGACCAGGATGCACTAGACATCCCGACCCTGCGCTCTTACACTGAGGCGATCGCGGGTGAATACTCCTTTCAGTGGCAGACAGCCATCGACGCAGAGATGGCTTCATGGAAGTCCACAGGCACTTATGTTGACGAGGTTCCCCCTCCTGGGGCGAACATCGTCAGTGGCATGTGGATTTTCAGGGTGAAGCGGCCGCTAGGTTCTCTGCCTGTCTTCAAGGCTCGTTACGTTGCTCGAGGTTTTGGTCCGCGAGAGGGAGTAGACTTCTTTCAGACCTTCTCCCCCACGCCGAAGATGGCCACTCTTCGCGTGCGGTTGCACGTTGCCGCTCAGCGTGACTACGAGCTTCACTCTCTTGACTTCAGCACTGCTTTCTTATAGGGCAGCCTGCACGAGGAGATCTGGTTGCGACGCCCTCCTGGCTTCACTGGGTCGTTCCCTCCTGGTACCCAGTGGAGCCTCCAGCGGCCAGTCTACGATCTCCGTGAGGCACCGCGTGAGTGGCACGACACACTGAGGACTACACTTGCGGCTCTTGGGTTTGCTCCGTCGACTGCTGACCCGTCATTGTTTCTGCACAGCGACACGTTGCTGCCGCTGTTCTACATCCTCGTGTACGTCGACGACTTGGTCTTTGCCTCTGCTGACATTGAGGCTCTCGCCCCGGTGAAGTCGGAGCTGCAGAAGAGACACACGTGCACAGACCTGGGTGAACTGCGTAGCTACCTTGGCTTGTAGATCACCCGAGACAGAGCACGCCGCACCGTCACCCTGATTCAGGCACACATGGTGCAGCATGTGCTTCAGCGCTTCGGCTTCACCTGGTCCTCGCCACAGCACACTCCTCTGGCTACAGGTCACTCACTCTCAGCTCCACCTTCGGATGAGTCCGTAGAGCCGAGTGGCCCGTATCCAGAGCTAGTGGGCTGCCTCATGTACCTGATGACCTGCACTCGACCTGATCTTGCAAACCGTCTTGGCCTTCTGGCTCGCTACGTGGCTCCTGGTCGGCACCGAAAAGTTCACATGGATGCTGCGAAGAGGGTACTGCGCTACTTGTGCGGTACATCGAGCATTGGGCTCGTGCTTGGACGGCGGAGCGTAGTTGTCCTAACTGGGCACTCAAACGCTTCTTGGGTTGACGACCAGGCTACGCAGCGGTCGTCACAGGGTTACACCTTTAGCCTTGGCTCTGGTTCAGTTTCCTGGCGTTCTACACGCTCGTCTTTGGTTCTCATCTTCACTTGTGAGGCTGAGATCTATGCCACAGCCATGGCTGCACAGGAGTTACGCTGGCTCACCTACCGTCATCGCCCGGATATAAGACAATGTCGAATTGAAGACAGGGGATGTCTTTTAAACGAGTGTATCTTATAGATGGGTGTTCTTGATTATAAGCCACCTACATGCATGTACGACTTAAGACAACGTCTTCTAAACAGTACTAGGGTTTAGGGTTTCGTGATAAAGGGGAGGGGTGTCTTTAAAGCGGTTCTCTCATTCAGGAGGGGGGGGGGGGGGGGTACATGCATGCATTTATCCAATCTTACTAATTCTACCTAGCCCCCCCCGGTTACGCCTTCCTCATTTGCACTAGCAGATGCAGGCTCCTGAATCCCCAGATCTGGGACTCGCCAAGCGTGCCGGGCCGTCTGCACGGGCTCGATCATGCGGTTAGCCTCCGCCGCCGCTCTCCGCTAGTGGAGGGTCTCCTGGTACAGCACATCCAGGCCAGTTGCCGCGCCCACCTCTCTGATGCCCTCCGCCTGCAGCTCCTCCTCCTCCTCCTCCTCCTCCTCCTCCTCCTCCTCCTCCTCCTCCTCCTCCTCCTCCTCCTCCTCCTCCTCCTCCTCCTCCTCCTCCTTGGGGGCCTTCCTAAGCAGGCGCGTGTTGTCACCAGTGGTGCCCTTGAGGCACATGTCTTCTGTGACATCGGTGGTGCTCCTCGCGCGCAGGTGGGACATCACCAGATGGTTCTCGGTCCCATCCAGCTTGATTGAGATGCCGCAGTGGCGGAACGCGTCATTGATCACCTGCCTATGAACTTGATCCCACGCCTCCACTATCCGCTGCAGCACCACGGGATGCGGGGGTCTCCTCAAGTTCCCTACGGGTGGGTCACATGCAGGGCAAGCGTGCCGTCAGATACGGTTCATCAAGAGGTAACTGGCTGGCATTTACTAATCACCGACAGTGGACTCACCGTGCTTCATCTTCAGGTAAAGGCCTTCACGCATGAACCACCTAGCGTAGCGAGCTCGCACCCCGGCCTTGAAACACCGGTTGATGGAAACGTCAAGTGGTTGAATTTGACTAGTGCAACTTGCAGGGATTACAGCGGGGGTGATGCTGTGCGTGCGATAGGAGCGAAGCATGCCCTGGGTGATGTGGCCACGGTACGAGTCCAGCACCAACATCGCGCGCTGTGCGCACTGGCCGCGCTGGGGGTTGACATGGGGCAGCACCTCCTTCGTCAGCCAAGTCTACACAGCGGTCTCGTCCATCCAACCGTTGTCCTGTGCTTGGACCACCACTCCTGCCAGGCACAAATGGAGATAGGGGAGTCAACAAAACAAGGCTACGGTGGTCTCTATCCATCCCAAATTCGTTTAGCTCACCTGCGGGGACGTCACAGTTCGCCACGTTCTTCATTTTGAACCAAACCCACGGCTGCAACTTCTCCCCGGATGCCGTGCACGCGAGCATCACTGTCAGCCGCGTCTTCTTGTAGCCTGCCGTGCTGATCGGGGCCAAGCGCGCACCACGGTGGTCAAGGGTCCTCTCGGCAGGCATCTCAACGAAGAGGGGCGTCTGATCTGCATTGATGATGCGGCTTAGGTCTATGTTGTGCCGCGCCCAGCTGATTCTTACAAACTTCCAAAAATACTCGCACTCTTTTGCGCATTCTGCCAAGGCAAAAAAAGCACACACAAGGAGGGGATGAGTCGGGATATGCAGGTTTAAAATGTGGTAAGCACAGGGAGTTGACAATCCGCGGTAAATTCACAGCCTAGAACTACTCACCAGCAGACAACCGCTGGCCAACCTTTGTCTTCACTCACATGACGAGATTCTAGCAGTCGCGGAAACGTTGGCTCCAACGGGAGCTCGCGTTCCAATTCTTCTCGAGGTGGTGCTTCTTCATCCACTCACGGCTCCACTTCTGCGTGTCCTTGACAGAGATCGCCACCCCATTCGCGCGATGCAGACAGATGTAGCGGTACAGCGCCGCCTCCGTGTCGGGGTGGTGTGAGTGGCGGCCCGCCTCATGCATGCGCTTGCAAGAATTTGCAGCGTGCGCGCTCCAGCGTCTAATGCACGCGATTCTCGCCGGAGACTCGGCCGAGGTCTTCTTGAGGGAGTCGAGCTCCGCGTAGCGACGTGCCCACTTCACCTTTTCGCGCATGGACCAGCTCCGCCTGGTCCTCTTAATCCCGCGACTGCGTGGGGAAGGGGGGCGGGAGTTAGCATTACGGATGGTGGGGTCTTTTGGCTTCGCCTTCTCAGGGAATGAAGGCATGGGGCCTGCACCCTCCGCGTAGTCGTCGTCACTGCCCTGCGCCTTGTTGACCAGGATGTCGTCTTTGTTCTTGCCAGCCTTCTTCTTCTACCTCTTCGCGCCTTTGCTTGAACCCGGGTCGCCATTGTCCTTCCGCTTCTTCTTGCTCTGGCAGACGCGCGGGCGACCTTAGCAGGAACCTCCACCACCTTACCCTTCCCCTTGTCAGCAGCAGAGAGGCGGGGTCGCTGCTCCTCATCCGGGCTGTCGTCGTCCGAGAGCACCACCCGGGTTTTTTTCCGCGACACGCCTTGGCGGTGACGCAGCTGCCTCTTCAACAGAGGCACGTGGTCATTTGACGAGATGCGCCATGGGTCGTCCGCGTCGTCCTCGCCGTCAAAGAAGACAGCATCACGGCCATCACCCGCCTCCGCCACCACAACAGCAGCCGTATCTGCGCCGGTTTCGGCATCCGCATCTGCATCCGCCTCCGCATCCGATCCCGCTTCGTCATCTGCCTCCGCCTCCGCATCCCCATGCGCTGGTGGATCCGCATCCGCAACCGAATCACGCATCGCTCCCGTGGGCACATCCATAGTAGCCGCCGCCTTTGCTTCTTCCGTCGCATCCGCCGCCGCATCAGCAACTGCATCCGCGCCTCCATCGTCCTCATCGTCACTTGCGCACCACTCCTCCACATCGACGCCGGAGCCTATCGGCTGCATCCACCAGTCGTCATCGTAGATGCCTCCAGCAGGCACCTCGTCACCAGATTGGCTGTCGTCGTGGCCGTTCTCCGGCCAGTCCTCTTCGTCCTCGTCGCCATGATCTTCGTCGTCAGCGTCTTTGTCGCCCTCATCCTCGTCACAACTTGCACCAGAGCCGGCACTGGAGCACCCCGCCGGTTGGCGCTTCTCTTTCGCCATGTCTATCCGGATGTCGTCACCGGGCGAGTTGATGCGCCCATAGTTGGTAACCTGGACGTTAGGGAGAGGAGACGGCACAATTGAAGGGTGCTTACTACGCATGATAAAGCCTGCTTAGAGCTAAGCTTGAGCCACTTCCGAGTTCCAAGAGCTAAAAATGAAGCTCAACCTCGACTACCCCCCGTTCTAGAGTGCCCCCTCCCTTGGAAGACAAGCCGCTCCTCTACAGAAAATTTGCTCGTAGCTCAGGATGGGAGGATGCTGCCATCGTTCTGTTGGCAGCGTTCTAGAAGGCTCTGTTCCTGGCTGGCAGCAAAACGACACTAGAAGCATCATGAGATGCTACCAATAGGGCGGGATTCTGCCAGCACAAGCAGCATTGATGCTTTACATCACGTGGCACGAGGTGGCGGCGCTTGAATCGCATCAATATGTGGCTGTATTCAATGAATCCGCCCCGTGGGTGGTTTCTACAATCTTCCCGAATGTTACATGGTTCTTATAAATTTTGCCTATTTATAAGAACTATAAGACACCCCAAACCATCCTAGATATAAGACACAGCAAGCATTTTTTCTAATGTATAAGATAAGACATATATGTCTTCTATCCGGGCGATGACGGTACCTACTGACTGACTTGGAAGAGCGGCCTCGTTCTCCTCCAGTGCTGTACGTCAACAACAAGGCCGCCATTGCCTTGTGTCAGGAGCATAGACTGGAGCACAGAACGAAGCATATCGCTCTGCGTTACTTCCTGGCTCGAGAGTTGCAGCAGCGTAGTCAGCTTTGTCTTGCTCACGTGGCCACTCGGGCCAACACTGCTGATATATTCACCAAGGCACTTCCGTCTGGTGATCATCAGCGTTTCTGCACTTTGTTAGGCCTTGTGCCCACTTTTCCTCACTTGCTGTAGACGTTGTTTGTACTGTGATCCATATATATATTTGCTTGTTTGCTCTGCTAGGTAGAGATCACCGTGTTGTTGTTGTTGCATATATACCTCTGCATGTGAACTCGCATTGTAGCCCTTTACTTGTGCTCAGTGTGTGTGGTGACGTTGTGATCCACCCTGAGCTTGCTTTGCTTCTCTTGACTGGTCGTGTGACCCCTTGCTCTCCCCTATTTTGCCTATGTGGGTGTGTCAAATGATATATGTACTATATATGCTTAGGCTGTAGTAGGGGTAGCCAATATGGGGTACATCCCCTTTTAGGGTTTTATATTTGTACCCATCTCTTTCTTAGTTGATCATTCCTACTGCCATATTTTGACATGCTATAGACACAGCCCCTTTCGCATGAACAATCAGACATGATCACACGAGAATATTAGGTGTCTCATCTCACCATTGTTTTCTTTTTCATCACCGTAATATGATTGAAGTTGTACAGTACTATGCTTTCCTTAATGATGAATATACCATGCATTCTGGTGAAACTACATGACCTTATTGTATGACCTCATATAGATTGGGAACCCATTTTGATTGACTTGGCAACAAGTTGAACAAAAAAAGTCCAGCTCTACCGTACAAGCAGACATACAAATTGGCTGTGTTCTGCGGGCACGACAGAGGGGGGGGGGGGGGGGGGGGCGGTAAATAGGAACCTTCCTCCAACTGCGTTATTTTGATCAAACGCCCGGTCAGCCCGGAAAATGGATCCGAGCCTCCCATTTACTCTCCGAACGTAAACGAAGGTAAATGGCAACAGAACAACCCTTTACCTTTGTGGATATGAGGGCGTAGGAAGCTGCCTATTTCCCCACCCCAACTTTCTTCTTTGGCAAAATTTGCCTCCTCCTCCCCCCCTTCGAAAACTGCTCTTGCCCGGGATGTGAGACGGAGGGGGGAGGGAGGCGCTGGGTTAGGGAACACCAAGGTTGAACCCTAGAAAGCAAACAGCCCCTTCCTTAAGTAGCCCAAACAGGGACGCGTCAACCTAGGTAAAAAAAGCACAAGCCACCAACCTCCTCGAACAGAGTTGAAAACCCTTTTCTACGTGGTAGCCCTTTGCTAAACTTCAATCCTTTTCTGATTTCGTACAGTTCTCTGTACCCCACCTCTGTGCGTTGGAAATTGTGGCTGTTTTTTTCGGCATTTATCTTCAGCAGCTTTGCACCCTAAACCCAGAATTTCCAACTTTCAGTTGTAGCGGGGGGGGTATCAAATGTTATTCTATGCTTGTAGGCTACAGTGAGTAGCACAATATGGAGTACAATTGCTAGGGTTGCATTTTGTACTCTCACACTTTCTAGTTTCGCCCATTCCGTTGCATTCCTATTCTAAGATGGTATCACGAGTAGGTTAGATCCTCGTTCGTTTTTAGCTAGCCTCCGTGCCCTACGTGCCCTCCGTGCTCTTGCACCCTCCGCGCCCTCCGCGCCCTCCTTGCGCCTAGCCCGCGCCCTCCCGCGCTGTCCAGCCTGTCGGGCACCCTCCTTAGACCTCCGCGCGCCCTCCCCCACCGCTGGGCGCCCTCCAAAACCGTCGTGCGCCCTCCTTAGACCGCCGCGCGCCCTCCCCCACCGACGCGCGCCCTCCTCAACCGTCGCGCGCCCTCCTCAACCGTCGTGCGCCCTCCTTAGACCGGTGCATGCCCTCCCCTCCGCCTGTCGCGCGCCCTCCTCCGTCAATGCTTCCCGCACACTTGCGTGCGCTTCCCGCACACAAGTGTGCGCTTACCGCACACTTGCGTGCACCTACCGCATACATGCGTGCGCTTACCGCACACCTGCGTGCACTTACCGCATCACTTTGTGCGCTTCCCGCACACCTGCGTGCGCTTCCCGCACACCTGCGTGCACTTACCGCACACCTGCGTGCACCTACCGCACACCTGCGTGCGTTTACCGCACACCTGCGTACACTTACCGCATCACTCTGTACGCTTACTGCATCTCTCTCTCCTTCACCTGTGCACCAGTCCCACGCCATTCCTACTGCTCTTGGGTCCTGGCTCAGCAGCTGGCAGCCGCTCTTCCCTCCAGTAGCGCCACCTAATTTCGGTTAGAGCCCCGCCCCACGACTATTTTCTCGCCGACTGTCTCTCGTCGGTTTTCCCGCTAGCGTCCCTAGCCCTCCGTAGTTTTCCTCCTTGTTCTTAGCTTCGCCTCCGCCGTGCTCCAGTCGCTTCTAGCATGGGCTCCGCTATGGAGGCCCGTCGCCTCCGTTTCGATGCTGAGGGACGCCCGATCGAGTTCGGTACCTGGCAGCGCCAGGCCACACGTTTCCTCACCAGCCAGCGTTAGGACGGCTCTACTCTGTGGGCCCACGCGTCGGGTGCTCTCGCGGCACCCCCGTCCCCCGCCGTCGTGCCGACCGCCCCGGAGCCGACTCCTACGGCCCAGGCGAACTACGACCGTCGAGTCCTGGCTCGGGACGTGTGGCTCTCTCGTGACGCGGCCGCCGCCCTCACGCTATCCGAGCTTCTCCCCCCGACTGAGGCCGCTCACTTTGACTAGGTGGAGACAGCCAAGGGGGTTTGGGATGCTATTGTGGCTCGCTAATCCACCCCCTCCTCCGCCTCCCTCAGTCGCCTCCTCATGCCGTTCGTGTTTCCCAATCTAGGCTCGTTTGCGACTGTTTACGACCTAGTGACTCACCTCCGCTCGCTTGACGCCGGTTTTCGTTCGGCCTGTACCGACGCACAACGTCTTGTTGCTCCCCCCCCCCATGTGGCTCACTGTGCACTCGTTAGTCACCCGCCTCCCTGACCGCCTTGCCACTGCCCGCGACGCGCTTCTTCAGAAGCACCCCACTGAACTCACTATAGACCTCCTTCGAACTGCTCTCGGCACCATCGAGAGCAGCCTCCTCACCGTTGCCTCCGCCACTGATGCAGTGGCCCTCCGTCTCTTTGCGGGGTGTGCTGCCCCTCAGCTTCCCACTTTCACCGGTACCCGAGCTTCTGCTGCTGTGTCGGTGTCTGAGGACACTGCTGCCGTTTCTGCCGTAGACTGGCAGAAACGGGGCAAGAGTGGCAAGAAGGGCGGGAAGGGGGGAGGTGGGGGCGGAGGAGGTGGCGGTGGAGGGGGCGGTGGAGGTGGGAGCGGCGGTGGTGGTGGAGGCGGCGGCGGCGGTGGTGGTGCACCAGGGGGAGGGGGCCTTGGAGGAGGCGCAGGACAGACAGGTCCACCCACAGGTGGTGGCCTGACCGGTGGGGGCGCTGGCCCCCAGCAGCAGCAGCCACAGCAGCACCAGCCACAGCAGGGACAGCAGCAGCATCAGGGATAGCAGCAGCAGTAGGCACTGCAGAAGTTCCAGCTGTCGGGGCCCCCGCTGCAGTGGGGTCCGCAGCAGCACTAGGGTCCCCCGCCGCAGTGGGGTCCGGGAGGCCCTGGGAGCACCGGCCGCAGCAGCAGCTCTTCCGGCTGGGCCCCTCGCCCCCCTCGCCGTGACGCTGGCCCCTGCACCGACTGGTGCCTCAGCGGGCCGGGCAGCCCCTGTCTCTGTGGTCGCGACGACCACTCTGCCACGCGGTGCTTCCGCCGCCTCGACGACCTCTACCGGGCTCGTTGGGGCCCCCCTGGCGGTCACGCCTCGCTGGTCTCATCTGTTAACCCGTAAGATTGATGTCTTTGATTTGTCCATGGATGATGCGCGTCAACATACTTTGTATGTTGATGCTGACTTTAGTGCTGAGGGATCTATGTGCTCGCGTGTTCGTAGTTTAGCATGCTCGCCTCCTGCTAGTGTAGCCTTGTGCCTGTCTAGCTTAGATGCTTATGTTGCTGCTCTAGGTGCTTGTGTAGCGACTGGGTCAGGTGACCCTCCGGCTGAGGCCTCTCTGTCGTTCACGCTAGACTCGGGCGTGTCTCGGTGCTTCTTCCGCGACCACACGACCCTTACGCCACTCCTCACTCCTGTGTCAGTAGCTCTGGCTGATCTGACCTCTGGACCAGCCGCTGCGCGTAGCTCCACCACCCTCGCGTGCCCTGTGGTCCCCTCTGGTGTCCTGCGCAGCCTCCACATCCCCTCGTTCTTTTGGAACTTGGTGGGTGTTGGATACCTCCAGGACAGGGGGATCACGGTTACCTTCGTGGAACAGGGACGGACTGCAGTTTGTACAGACGCTACCACATGTGCTGTTCTGGCCACGT